CTATCTATCTATCTATCATCTATCTATCTATCTATCTATCATCTATCTATCTATCTATAATCTATGTACCATCTATCTATCATCTATCTATCTCTATATCTATGTCTCTTTCTGTCTGTCTCTCTAGCTCTATATCTATCTATCTATCTATCTATCTATCTATCTATCTATCTATCTATCTATCTATCTATCATCTATATATCTCTATGTCTGTCTGTTTCTGTTTATCTGTCTCTCTAGCTCTCTATCTATCTATCTATCTATCTATCTATCTATCTATCTATCTATCTATCTCTATTTCTATATCATCTATATAAAATTATTTTTAAAGATATATGTATATGCAGATACATCTGCATATAAAGGAGATTTCTGCTGGCCATTGCTGTTTAAAAATAATGATATATCTATATCTATATCTTTCTTTCTATCTCTATCTCTATATTTCTATCTCTATCTATCTATCTATCTATCTATCTATCTATCTATCTATCTATCTATCTATCTCTATCTTCTTTCTTTCTTTCTTTCTTTCTTTCTTTCTTTCTTTCTTTCTTTCTTTCTTTCTTTCTTTCTTTCTTTCTTTCTTTTATATATACAGTAGGCACTCCAATATTCTTTTTTCAATAAAAAATAAATTCAATAAAGCTTTGTCATGAAGAGTCGATTTTTTCATGGGGAAGAGCAGGCAAGAGGACTACAGGGCTTGCGATACATCATATTTGAAAAATACCAGGATACACTTTCTCTAAATTTCTCTAAATGCTTTATTTTCTACTTTGGGGCAAACAGTCAAGATTGGATGCAGTTATCGCAGTGGAAAAATGACAGAAATTGCTGGTACTCACCCATCCATTAGAGTGAGTTTAATGAGGTCACAGATAGAAGGCAACTGCATGGAAAACATAAAAGAAAAATAAAGACAAGATTCCCTTGAAACTTATTTGATTTTTGATTGGGTTTTCTTGACAGAACATGTTATTAACCATTGTAGAAGGTGGCTGCAGCTACGTTCTCCATGAAGTTAGCTGTAGCCTCCTTACACCTTAATAACATTTTCGGCATCCGTCACCAGGGAAATCTCCATGTGTGACAGAGAATTTCCATGCTTTCACAGGTCCAAAGCCCCAGAATGAAAAAATGGAAATGTTGCGAGAGTTGGTTTAAGATGTGAATTGATCTGATTTGTAATGGTCATTCGTGTTGCAGGCTCAGGGGTATTTCTCGGAGTTCTTCTATGGCTCAAAAAAAAAAAAAGAAAAAGGTGAACTTTTAGATATAGGTATAGAATTCTTTATTGGCCAAGTGTGGTTGGACACACAAGGAATTTGTCTTGGTGCAAATACTCTCAGTATACATAAAAGATACATTCATCAAGAATCATCAGGTACAACACTTAATGATAGTCGTAGGGTACAATATGCAATCAAATCATATTAGGAAATAGTCAATGTAAATTTTAGGCATATTTAAATCCAAAAGACACCCAAGATCTCTGGTACCCCAAAGGCTTCCGAGAACCCTGAGGATTTAGTCTCAGAGCCAGGTGCCAGAGGATCTCAGTGTCCTTAAAACTATATAATAGTTATCCCTACACTTTGAAAATTCTTCGGTCTTCCACTGGAATCCCAAAGATGTCTTTTTCAAGAGGCAACTGGACTTTCTGGTTTTTCTTTGAAGATGTTTCGCTTCTCATCCAAGAAGCTTCCTCAGTTCTGACTGGACTGAAGAACAGAAGAAGCTTCTTGGATGAGAAGCGAAATGACTTCAAAGGAAAACCAGAAAGTCCAGCTGCCTCTTGAAAAAAGCATCTTTGATTGTTCTGACTTTCCGGAAATTTCTCCATAGTTCTAGGTTGCTTTTCTCCTTGATGAGTTCCACGCCTTACTTCTTGTCCTAATTTTTCTTTGAGGATGTTTCCCTTCTCATCCAAGAAGTTATTATAGCAATATAGCCAGGGGTGGGGTGCAAATTTTTAAACTACCTGTTCTGTGGGCGTGGGCAGGTGGGTGTGGCCAAGTGGTCATGTGACTGGGTGGGCGTGGGGTTTTTTTGGGGGTGGGACTATTGGGCCTCAGGGAAGCCTCCTGGGTGAAGCAGTACAACAGCGAGGCGGGAAAAATCAGCTGTGCCACGTGATTTAGATTAGCTAGAAAGCAAGAAATCGGATGATTTCCTGCTAATCTAAATCATGCGGCACAGGTGATCTTCGAAAAACAGCTAATATTGGTGGGGGGGGAAAAGGAAACACCTTGATCTTCGGAGTGAACTAGTTTGCTTCCAGCGGATCTTCAGAGCTACCGGTTTGCCCGAACTGGGCCGAACTGGTAGAATCCCACCCCTGAATACAGCTGTATTGATGAGTGTCCTCTTGCTTATTGATAAATTTAGCCTGCAGTCAGCGACATCCCATCTTTTCCCTTCTGCCCCAGCTTACCTGCATGGGAAAACAGAGCACCTGGTTCCACACAGGGTTGGTGTCTCCGAGAATGACCTTGGTCCTTAGCTGGACGTAATTGAGAAAAAAAGCAAATCAATCAAGGGCAAGCAGGCAAAGTAAGAGCCCAGCCGAATGTCCCCTTGACTTCCAAATCTTGAGTGCCAGGGTCACAAGGGTAAGGTTTATATATTGGGGCTCACCTGTGATGATCAAGGATCATCTCCAGGTGACCAAGCATGAAACCTTTGGGAAAGGGGGATGTTTCTTTTGTCAAGCTAACTTGTATAATGGGCTAACATGTAAACATGCGCAGGCAAGGAGTTAATAGCAATATCCCTTAGATTTATATACCGCTTCATGGTGCCTTATAGTCCTCTCTGAGCAGTTTACAGAGTCAGCCACTTGCCCAGCCCACAACAATCTGAGTCCTCGTTTTACCCACCTCAGAAGGATGGAAGGCTGAGTCAACCTTGAGCGGTCAGGATCGAACATCCTGGCAGTGGGCAGACTTTAGCTTGCAATACAGCACTTTAACCATGCACTGACATGTCTTCCTTCCTTCCTTCCTTCCTTCCTTCCTTCCTTCCTTCCTTCCTTCCTTCCTTCCTCCCTCCCTCCCTCCCTCCTTCCTTCCTTCCTTCCTTCCTTCCTTCCCTCCCTCCCTCCCTCCCTCCCTCCTTCCCTCCCTATGGTTAGAATGCAGTATTGCAGGCCAATTCTGCCCACAGCCAGCAGTTCAATTCTCATTAGGCTCAAAGTTGACTCAGCCTTCCAACCTTCAGAGGTGGGTCAAATGAGGACCCAGACTGTAGGGGCAAGAGGCGGACTCTGTAAAGCGCTTAGAGAAGGCTGTAAAAGCACTATAAAGTGGTATATAAGTCTAAGTGCTATTGTCCTTCCTTCCTTCCTTCCTTCCTTCCTTCCTTCCTTCCTTCCTCCCTCCCTCCCTCCCTCCCTCCCTTCCTTCCTTCCTTCCTTCCTTCCTTCCTTCCTTCCTTCCTTCCTTCCTTCCTTCCTTCCTTCCTTCCTTCCTGTTAAATGCAGCATTGCAGGCTAATTCTGTCCACAGCCAGGAGTTCAATCCTGACCCGCTCAAGGTTGACTCAGCCTTCCATTCTTCTGAGGTAGATAAAATGAGGACCCAGATTGTTGGGGGCAAGAGGCTGACTCTGTAGACCACTTAAGAGGGGGCTGGAAAGCACCACGAAGCGATGTATACATCTACGTCCTATTGCTGTTTGTGACTCTCCAGTCCTCACTAAAGATTTACCATTGTTGGCGTGTGTGTTTTGAAGAGTGTTATAAACATACTATGCCACCTGCTAATAGCGTATAGTTGTCCCTTAAAAGTAATAATTCTGCTAAGAAAAGCAAACCCTCAGTTTGCGTTACACCCACCACTCGTCCTCCAAAATTAACTTCCAGAGAAGGGTCCACAGAGATGCTGAGAGGATCCACAGGTGGGGCCGTGAAAGGTGTCACTGTGTCATCTTGTACTGCAAAGAACAACAAGCATCAGGCTAATGAAAAAGTAAGGAAGAGGATTATTTTTAGTATCCCACTATATTAAGGTGTGTGTGGGGTCGGGGGTGGGGGAATTATGTGGTCTGCTAACTGCTTGCATGTGGCCCAGTGGTGGGGTTCAAATTCTTTTACTAACAGTTCCGTGGACGTGGCTTGGTGGGCGTGGCTTGGTGGGCGTGGTAGGGGAAGGATACTGCAAAATTTCCGTTCCCTCCCTCCCTCACTAACCTGCTTTCCAGCTCTGTTCTCCTGTGCAGGGCAACCAAAGGAGATCCAGCCAATCAGCTGGGACTTGGGAGGTGGAGATTACATAAGGGCAGGGCCAGTCAGAGGCGGTATTTGCCCGTTCTCCGAACAACTCAAAATTTCCACTACCAGTTCTCCAGAACTGGTCAGAACCAGCTGAATACCACCTCTGATGTGGCCTCTTGCAAACAGCGGCTTGTCTAAAGCAGGATTTAACCTGAGCTGTGATAGGAAATGGAAAGCAGGGCTGTGCAAGACACTAGGTGCATGTGAAATAGATTAGGAGAGCCTTCGTGACTGTAAGTGTAATTGTAAATCCCATAATTGGTTGAGTCTTGCTTTGTTGGCTTGTCCCACAATCAGGATGCTCTGGAACAGTTCCAAGCCCATAAAAGAAGTTCCCTTATTGACGATAGATTGTCTACCCCATTTAAGAACTGGATGCCAGACTAAAGAAGAACATCTTCATACCATCATACAGTTAAATTGGCAGAGTTGACCTCCCACTGCCTTCAAAATGCTTTGGAACCAAGTATGTTTCAAGATATTAGGACCTGTGCAGTCATCAGTCAAGAACCAAACAATAATCCCATTCAAGACCTGCCCAGCAAGATAGCAGTAAATGGGTCCAACCAACTGCCATCGGACAGTAGAAGCTCCGAGATCACTTCATTAACCTTGACAGGGGAAGCACTGGCTGTCGGGATTCCAGCGATTGCCCTAATTAAATCATGAGCCTCAAGCCAAGCTTCAAAAGAATCCTAAAGATTTATTAGGAGCAACATGCAGGCATTACCCTAAATGAAGCCAACTCTGGCATACGTAATTTATAGTCACCTGTGACCCTGTTTCCCCCTCTCCCCCCTGGGTTTGTCATAAATCAGATTCTCCAATGAAGCACATTCACGAGCCGGGTGTCATCAATCACGTTCTCCAATGAAGAATTTTCGTGGGCAGAAGATCCAGTAACCTAGCTACAATCTTTTAAAGATAAGGGTGGAATGCACTTCTGGTTTTAAACCGATGTACTGCTCCTTCAGTTCCCACCCCCCACACCATTTATGGCAACATGAAAACATGCATAGGAATGTTTTACGAGTGGACATTAGCGCTGTTGCTGTTACCTAGTTTGAGTAATGAAACATTGGCCTAAAAACAACCAAGCTCAGAAATCGACCAAGGACCCCCTGATATTAGGACTTCTGCTCCCTTACAGGAAGCAAATTCTCTCCAGTCTCCATTGGCTCTCTGGCTGAATGAATGATCCACAAGAACCACACATGGTCAGAGACACTAGAAATGCCACCCCTTCATTCTTGCACCCGCGGCAAGATTCCTGACTTTGGAAGTGCCA